TCTACCTTACTTCACTCCATTGCCTAAATGTAACTTTGTTTTAATTTTTGATTCTAGATATTAGATGGGCACAATGTAAGGGATCTAAACATCCAGTGGTTGAGATCTCAGATTGGTATTGTTTCACAAGAACCAACATTATTTGATTGCTCTATTGCTGAAAATATCGCCTATGGGGACAATTCCCGTGAAGTACCCATGGAAGAAATCATTCAAGCTGCAACTAATGCAAATATTCATAGTTTTATTGAGAGTTTGCCTCTGGTGAGTTCATTAGTACACAAGTACAATATTTGAAACATGAAGAAAAATATACACAGTCACCTTGTAAAAGAACAATGCTACTTGTAATACTGGTTTTTACCTTGCCCGTAACATCAAAGATGGAAGGAAAAGGTATATTAAGGGAAAAATTTCTGTCCGGCATTGTCATTGTCGTTGTTAATATTGTTGTTGTGTGCACACTAACTTAACTAATTCTATTCCAAACTTTATCAAACTTTGTCACCTTATTCCTCAGTATAAAGTCTTCCCTGAGTATGAACAACAGAAGTCCTGTATGAAAATATGCAAAAATCAGATAAAATATTTTGACTGTTTCTACTTGACTGATCACTGGTGATACACATTTAAAGGTCACTGATCTCAGTGGAAATATGCATTGTTGTCTGTGTTCAATGAAGCAAAACATTTATCTCGTAATAATATCCTTTGTAATGTATCTCCCAAATCCCATGGAAATACTAGACTGGGTTTCAAAACCAACTCATGGAGAGAGTTTTTGCACAGTCTGATACATATTTGCAAACCTAAAATCTTTACAGGAAAAAAGATAAGCACTTGTATGAATTGGATGCCAAACTTTGATCAAGATCTGAAGCTAATAGAAAATCTGTTTAGTTCAAAATTATCAAATCAACAACAATACATAAAAAATACATAAAAAGCAAAACATTGCATCCACATTTTGAAAAAAACTCAAAAATAGGTATTCTGTATTTAACAAAACAGTTCATTCGACAAATGAAAATTCACAGGAATTTGTTTCAGCTAATAGAACAGAATAATAGAGCTTTTATAATAATAATTTAAAAAACGCGTTTAAAAAAACCAAGATTGCAATGTTTGAAGATGTAAATTCTCAGGAGGCAAAAGTGCTGTTAACTTCTCTCTCACTGGACACCGTAAAGTTAAGTTGATTTGCATACAAAACAAAGCTTGCAACATGATAAAGGGCGTTTTTTTTTACTTCTCAAATAATACAGTAGTCACACATTGAATATAATAAGGCAGTTCATATTTGTCTCAGTGGATCATTAATTTTTGACAGACACCTGTACAAAATACTTGGGCAAAAGCCAGCTAAGATTTTCTGGTATCTTGCATGATTTATGAATCTATTCACGTTTAAATGCAGCACTTTTTTTCTGAGATGCAGCATTTGTTTTTATAATAAAAACTCTGAATTACTTTGAATAAAGCTTGAAATTGTGTCCCTTAAAATAATTAAACAAATTAGGCACCAATGTTTTTGTAAGATATTTACATCTATCAAGGACATTCAGTAAATTGCTTTCCCACTGTTGTTTCAACCCCAAAACTTGTTTGTATTCAAAATTAATTATGACAATGCATATTCATATTGAAACAAACTATGATAAAGGGAATAATATATAACAAAGGGCAAGGTCACCAGAGTTTAACTATGTTCTTCAATAGAGCTTAGTTTTTTTGTCTTCTTATCCCTGTTGGTCTCTGTTTGTCCGTCCGTCCGTCCGTCCGTCCGTCCGTCCGTGCATCTGTTCAGAGTCATATTTCAGAATCCAACAGTGCATATTTCAATTTGATCAAATATGTCCGACTGGCGGCCATCTTGTTTGTGATAACTTGGACATGCTTTCACTTGTGATCTACATTTTTCTTTGCTATGTCTAAAACTGGAAGGGTCGTCACGCAACACGTGTTCGAATTTGATGTAAACAATCTGTTGTATACACCACTCAAGGACATGCTCGCAACAACCCCTCCACTTTAATATGACAAGCACAAAGAGAACTTTCACAAATTTAACGGGGACTGTTTCATTTTTAATGACTTGTGTTTATTCACATTTTTTACCAGGGATATGAGACAGGTGTAGGGGATAAAGGAACTCAGTTATCAGGTGGACAGAAGCAAAGAGTTGCTATTGCCAGAGCTTTAGTCAGAAATCCTAAGATACTTCTACTGGATGAAGCAACATCAGCATTAGATACAGAAAGTGAATCGGTATGTTTCATCCATTCTCTGCTGACTGACAAACTGTGTTTGTGATTCTTTTGGCTTTTTATCATCAATACTAAATGTGTATATATATTTATTTTGTGACAATAGGTAGTACAAGAAGCACTCGACAAAGCCAGCGTAGGTCGTACATGTTTGGTCATTGCCCATCGTTTATCAACTATTCAAGATGCTGACAAGATTGTTGTTATACAACATGGTAAAGTAATAGAAGAAGGCAAACACAATGATCTCTTGAACAAAGAGGGCGTTTATTTCAGGTTAAACAACACACAAGTTATGACCTGAACTATTATTAGTCTTTCTGACATTGGTTTTTAATAGTTCATTTTAAAACTTGGATTTGCCTTCAGCTGTGCTCTGATTTCAACTGCATGTGCTGTTCTGCGTATTTTTCCTGAGCAGTGCACTTTTAATTCTTTAATTTGAAATTATTACAAAATTGATAGGATAGTCACAAATTGTCCCATCTAACACCGAGTTTTGTGTGTAACCCAAATAGTGGGATATTTACAAACTGTGCTCAGGACTAACAGTGTTTAATAAAGTATATACCACTATCCTGTATTTAACTACCATATTTACTCTATTCTCCATTAAAAGCATATATAAACCATATATACTAAATCATTATATTATAATTTTACCAATAAAAACACACCTGTCATGTACATAAATAGAGCAAATACAGTATTTTGAGACTGCCTATTCTCTGAATATTTGACTTCTATTGGTGTGGTGTGAGCTGGACAACAGTCATGAGTTTGCATTTTGTTTCATATTCGGTACAGAATGTTTTTGTTTGTTTTTATTTTGCATTTCTTGCCTAAATGTCTCTCAATTCCTGGCTACTGATATCAAATTGTGTGCACATACTGCATATTTTTACCTTCAATTATGTGCTATCATTACAATACAGAATGTATTGTATTGTAACATGTGTACATTGGTAGTCATGTAAGGTAACACATTGTACTGTACTGAAAATCTCCTATTACTGTCAAATACTTTATTTGAGCTGGTATTCATTTTCCCTGAAAGGACTTTTTGGCATTGATTTTTGATGAGTTAAGTATAAAATGTAGAAAAAAAGGTATATTCACAGGATTTTATTTTCACTAAATCATCTTTTCAGCAAAAATAAATTACAAGTAAAAATATAGTATTTTACAGTAAAAAACAATTCAGAGAAAATTTTGGTGAATGTACATAATGATTTAATTTCAGAACGATAATTTAAATATTATCGGGTAATAGACATGACTTGTGGATCTGTGTTTGTATTTATCTAAAATTTGTATTCAATTTGATATTTTATTAATGTTATACTGAATATTTTATATGTTTATTTGTATTGTATTCTTATACTTGGTGTTTTAGAGCTTTTTAGAAAAATGTATTTAATCAATAAATTATGAAATCATTTAACTACATATTGATTGATTGTCTAATGTCTTTTCACTTTGCTTGTTTCATTGTTGTTTTCAAGATGCGCATGATAATTTGTCATGGTTTATGTACAATATGTTAATATTCAACATTAAATATCTGTAAGTTTGGTTATCTTCAATAAATGAATATATTATATTATTATTATTATTATTTTATTTCCATTTCTCTATAGAAATATACCCCACTAACCTTGGGGAACAGGTTACAATGCGAAAGTTACAGGCGTGACTTTAATCGTCTCAATAAAATAAAGTATTATATATATATACACATACACACACATATACAACTCATCTATTGGAGAACTCACACTAACAAATTATATCTAATCTGAAAAGCTGTGTATACAAATCTTGTAATACTTTGGATGATTTCATGGTTATCCTGAGAAAAAAAATATGTAAGTTTACGGATAGGCGAAAGGAACTCGAATTGTGGTTCAATGCGGTTAATTCGATCAAAAGGCGGTTTTCGAATATGGTTATATGCTGGACAAACTACCAGAAAATGAGTTTCATCTTCAACAGCATCTATACATATTTGGCCGGTTCTATTTTCCACTGGAGTTCCATAATATCAACCGGTCTCAATGTGTAACTTATGATTAGAGCACCAGAGTTTAGTTAAAGCTTGTCTGTACAGGGGAACACGAACGATATCCAAATAATTCTCATAAAAAATATTTGTTTTAAATTGGCGAAACGTTCGTAACTTATTTCTAATGTTTGGGGATCTACGAACATCGTCAAATAAAGCATCTTTCCAACTTTTGAAATAACAATCTCTCTTTCCAATTAACGTTGTTTCATCGATAATTTGGGAGATAAACCTATTCTCCCAAACAGTATGCATATTGTGTTTAATTAATAATTTCTTAATAGCTAAAGCAAAAATGGCTTTCCTATCTGTGCCATTTTTTCAGACTCTCTATAGGCTTTGTAAACGAGTCGATTAGATGACATTTTCAGAATACGTTTCCAAAATTTAATACGGATTAGATTTCTGCCGATACTAAGTGGATATCGTCAGAGTTCACCCATAACTGCACTGTTGGTTGTATTTTGCCCCACACCTAATATATATTTACACCACTTTAACTGAACATCTTCAATTGGTTTACAATACCGATTTCCTATAACTGCCGCTCCATAGATTAAAATTGGTTTAATTTTCGAGTCAAATATTTTTTGAAGTAATTTTGGTGAAATCTCATTACCAATTTCTTTCCTGACCGCGTACGCTGCCTTTGAAGCTTTTCCGGCCAAAATTGCACATGCCAACTTAAATGAACCATTTTCGGCAAAGACAACGCCTAGATATGTATAATTTACAACAATATCAATTTGATTTCCAAAAAATTTAAAATCCAAGTTATCTTCATCACAGTCAACAATATCCTTATTGAAAATAATAATTTCAGTTTTAGTGGTGTTTACAAACATTTTCCACAAATAACAATAAAATTGGAATCTGGCAAGTAACAACTGTAAACCCGAAGCACTATCAGATACAATAACTGTGTCGTCGGCATACATAAGACATGTTAGTGTATAATCATCCAATTCAAAGCCATTTCTAAATCGTTTAGAAAAAATGCAAATAAAATTGGGCTTAATATGCCCCCTTATTGTACCCCAATCTCAGATGTAAATGTTTTTGTGTAACCATGCAGTAATTTTACACAATATTTAACCACACTGTACATACTCTGCAAAAGATTGACTATTTTACAACTAAAGCTTACTCTAACAAGCTTTAAAAATAAACTAGCTCTGTCAACATAGTCAAATGCTTTTTTATAGTCTACAAAACAAACGTATAATCTCTTTCTAGCGGCTCTATATTTCTCAATTAGCGTTGACAGGGTAAAATATTATCTTCAGTGCTGTGATTTGCCCGGAAGCCTGCCTGATTATCACTGAGAATATTATTTGTATCAAGCCATTTCACTATTCTTTCGTTAATAATAATTGTAAAAAGCTTACCGAAACAACTCAATAGGGAAATGCCACGATAATTAGCGGGGTCGTTACCTTTCTTTAAAATTGGACAAATCAGTGACTTTGACCAGGTCTCTGGGAAATGCCCACTATTCAAAATCAAATTAAAGACCTTTGTATAACACTTGATAAGATCTTGATTACTATTTTTGAATAACTCATTTCTAAAGCCATCAAACCCGGGTTGTTTTTTCATTTTTAATTTCTTTATTGCAGCTGTCACTTCCTCCATACTAATCTCCATATCAAGTTATACAGTATCAATATAATCTTGTCGTGTATTATCATGAGTGGGAATTTCAGAGCCCACTGTCTCGGACACTGGCGCTTTACTCAAACGCTCAAAATAATTAAACCAATCTGTGTTCGAAATATTTGGGTTTGTCCCAGTTTCTGACTGGGTAAGCCTACGAAATTTACCCCAAAATGAATAATCTTTTGAAAAACAACTTGATTCCAAATCAATAATTTGTTTTTTCCGGTATTCCCGCTTCTTCCATTTCAGCATTTTCTTATAAACACGTTTTGTATTCGCCAAAGTACAGTATACCGTTCGATTTGTCGGATCCCTATTTATTTGTTTATAAAGTTCGTTGACCTCGCTTCTTATTTCCTTGCACTCAATGTGTTGCTACCGTCGTACGGTAAATCTAGGAATTCCTCTACAGCGCCCTCTATTGCAATTGTTTGTTTGTTATGCACTGGAGTAGAAATGCCGTCAACGTAAATATGGCAGCCATTTAAAGACCGGGCTCCATCAGTTTGCCCCGAAATCTAGGTGAATACTTAATTTAAATGTATTTTCTAGTAGCGATAGAAATGATTAATATCTATTGGTGCCGACATTACAATTGTGTTTGATTCTTTGTATTTTATGGATTTGTATTTGATGATTCAAAATGTGCATGTTCATTACGACGTTGCTCAAGTTTTATATGTACTTTTGTACTGTAGTTTACCTGGATGGTATAGACAGCAAAAATAAAGTTCGTGAAGACTACGAATTACAGCTATTATCATTCTGAGTAAAGAATTAAAGGGTAGCGCCCGCAACAGTAAACTAGAAATGTCCGAGACACAGAAGTTCAGCTTGAAGTCAATCTCCAGTCGATGA